AAAATAAAATAAAATAAAAATAAATAAATAAATAAAAAAAAGAAATCTTTAAAAAAAAAAAAAAAGACCAGTCTTCTCATAGTAAGTTCCAGACCAGGCTAGACTACAAAGTATGACTGTCTCACAAAACAAAATCACCCCCAAGTAGAGCAATAACAAATGACTTTTAATAGAAGTAAGAAATGGCAGTGATGTTTAACATTTGGAGGGAAACTGTTGATATGTGCAAATGTAATTTTTACATAATTCTTAGGACATCCCTATGAGGGAGGCTATTCCCAATTTATGGTTGAGGAGACTGAAACTCAGGGAGCCTAAATGATTATCCGAAGGCCAGCTGGTAACCAAGACATAGGATTTCAATCCATATTAGCCCAGGGGTTTATATACATATCTAATCATACATTTAAGTATATATCACTGCCTGGCTGTTTTAGGTAATTTCAGTATCTGTCTCCATAATTCTTATGTCTGTGTGTATTTATGCACACCATGTATGTGTTTTGTACCTACAAAAGTGAGAAAAGGATTCCAGATCCCCTAGAACTAGGGTTGTATTCAATTGTAAGCCTTTATGTGGTTCAGGTGTCAGGAACCACAGGTCCCCAGCAAGAGCAGAAAGTACTCTTATCCACTGAGACATTATCTCTCCAGTCCCTGTCTTTATAAGTTCCTAACAAACTAATGAGAAAATTTAGTGACAGAGCCAGTTATGGTGGCATATGGCTATATTCAGGAAACTGAGGCAGGAGGATGAAGAAGCCAGTCTGTTCTACATAGTCAGTCCCAGGCTATGCAAGATTATATTGGGAAACTGTTTTATTTCCTCTTTCTCGATTAAAAAAAGTAGTATTTAGTAAGAACAGAAAATTCGTCCAACTTAATTATCTCAGCTTGAAAGCATAAGACAAGCAAACAAAATATTTTGTATTATGAAAGTTAATATATCTGAAAGTTATTAGAAACAAGGAAATATGTTTTTATATTTTGATTTTTATTTTCTGTAGATAGTATAGTCTGTCATTCATGACCATATTTATACAGATTTAATGCCTATTCCTCATTTTTAACTGAATATTGTATTGAAAATATAGTTCTTTGTCATTCATTGTTTATCATGCTTAATAGTCTGTCAAACTTATGGAACTATTCCTTTTTTGTTGAACATACAGGTTTTTGTGTTTTGCTTTTATAAATGCTCTGTTTTCACTTCCTTAACACAAATTCTTAGAAGTAGAATGATTATATCAAGGAATAATGGGTTTTGAAAGCCTTTAGTAGATACTGCTAAAATGTTCTTGCCGAGAAGTTATACCAAAAAGGAAACCTTACCAGTATTATAACTTTTTTATTTTAACGCTTTATTTACACCTAATTTTAATTTTCCAAAGAAATTACAAAAATATTTAATAATGCCAATATGCTTTTCACGCAGTATGTGCTCATTTTAGCAGAGGGTAGTAATTACTTTTGTGCTTTCTAACTGATCTTTGTAGTACTAGCATACAATTCGGTTTACTTTTTTAATAACTAACAAAATAACTTTAACGTTTTACAGAGTTTTTCAAAGACTTCATCACAAGATGATCCAGGTGCTTCTATCTTACAGTTAGACTCAACCAAGGATAAACCATCCTACAGCATACTGAAAAGGAGTACAGAAGGTTTGATTTAGTATTTCTTCTTAAAATTCTATAAAAAGAGACTTTGTTACTGTTCATATAGAATTTTTATACAAGGGCTTGAAGATGGCTCAGCAGGTAAAGGTGCTTGCTGCTAAACTTGTAACCCAAGTTGGATCCCTGGAACCTACATAGTAAAAGTAGAGAATCGACTCCATGCCATCCACAGATGCACACTAAATAAACAAATTAATAAAGATTTAAAAAGCCAGAAAGATTGCTCAACAAAGGCAATTGCCAAGCTGATCTGAGTTTGATCTTTGAACCCACACAATAAGATGAGAGAACTGACTCGGGTAGGTTGTCCTCTAACCTCCACAGGTTCCGCAAGTACACCCACATGCATACACATACTTCTGAAATCAGTGCCTTCGTGTTATTTTTTGCATATAAGATGGAAATAGAGCTATCATTCCTGAATGCTTTAGATGTGCAATCTTATTTAATGGACTATCTCCTTTCTTTCTGTTAGTTTAGCTAGTGTGTGCTAATTTAGGTTTTTGGGTTTGGGTTTTTTTGGTTTTTTGTTTGTTTGGTTTTTTTTTTTTATTTTTATTTTTATTTTGAGACAGGGTTTCTCTGTATAGCCCTGGCTGTCTTATAACTAACTCTGTAGACCAGGCTGGCTGGTAATTTAGAGATCCACCTGCCTCTGCCTCTGCCTCCTGAGTGCTGGTATTAAAGATTTCGCCACCATCCCTGCCTGAGTTTATTCTCATTTAGAACTGCCTGTGAGCTATGAAATCTTAATATAGTTTCTGTAAGTCAGAGAAGTCTCCTGATGACTTAAATACTAGGTAAAATATATTTATTATTTGGCATGGCTTTAGTTTATTTTTTGGTAAACTTTCTATATAATAAAGGACATGTGAGATAGCTAAACATAATAGAGTGGTATAATAAAATGGCAGAACTAAAGAGATATAATATGCACATGATCAGTACCTAATATATATTCAGTGAAGGAATAGAAATTGGACAATTGAAATAAAATTCATTTAAAAAATTTTTTTCTGCCTTGACAAAATCTTAATGAATGTAAATAATATGATTGTAGAAGAATGTTACCTAGATAAAAAAGAAATTCTTTATAATGGAATAAAGTAGCTTCTCTATTAGCTAATTTGATATATTTCACTAGAAAGGAACATAATTATCTTTTGATTTTTATTTACTAATAAGTAGTATATTACATTTATCAAACCAAAGGAAAAGTTTTATAGTAATTTGAGTGTCACAGTATTTTCTCACTTTGCTAAATACTTCATTTGATATTAACCTATGTCCAGTTAGCAAAATAACCAAGAACCAAAATTGATAGGGAAATAAAATAGTTGTCTTAAATTTGATTTTACTAAGCACATGGTCTCATTCCTAGAACAAATCTCAATTTGTGAAGCTTCTAGAAGTTAAAGACTAACTCCTACTCACTATTTAAAGATCCTCCACTAAGTGTGGTGGCACACGTATGAAATTTATGAAATTCCACCAGGTGGGAAGTAGAGCCAGGAGGATCAGAAGTTCGAGGGCCAGTCTTAGCTGCTTAGCAAGTTCAAGGGCAGCATGAGCTACATAAATCCCTGTCTCGACAAAGGTTTTTAAACTGTAGAGAAGAGAGCTTTGTCCTGTATATTAAACACTGTTCTACAGATTTGTATAGGCTTTATCAAGTCACCTAACTTAATCTATGTCACTTTTCTCACATTGATTAAAATACTGATTTTATTTATTTTTTAGTTTTTTGAGATAGGATTTCTCTATAGCTTTGGAGCCTGTCCTTGAACTTGCTCTGTAGATCAGGCTGGCCTCGAACTCCCAGAGATTGCCTGTCTCTGCCTCCCAAATTCTGGGATTAAAGGTGTGCACCACTACTACCTGACTTTAAAATATTATTTTCTGTTTCTCACATAATACATTCATTCTCTGGACCTAATATGAGCCATTTGTAAATAATGTTATTCATCTTAGGATTTTATTGAGTTTGCAAAATTAAGAAAAGTGAAATTGTTTTATAAACTTTAAATGGTTTATTAAAGTTTATAATAATAACAACCACAAATATGTGATAACGTTTGAAGTCTAGGATGACCATGAAAACTTAGAGAAAATTAGATTTGAGCTTGAATTTGAAGAAGGGAAATAGGATTTTTTATGAGAATAAGTTTTTTGGTTTTTAGCCAGGCATGGTAGTGGTGCATGCCTTTATTCCCAGCAGAGACACACAGATTTCTATGAGTTCAAGGCTAGCGTGGTTTACATAGCAAAGTCCAGGACAGCCAGAACTACAAAGTGAGACTCCATCCCAAAAATTAATTTCAAAAATATTCTTTTTCATCAATTTATTCTCTGACAATTTCACACATTTTGTAATGCATTTTGGCCACACTCATTCCCCCCACCACCACCATACTCGTCCCACCTCCACCAACTCCCTAGTCCCCATTCCACTTTTTGTTTTTACTTTTCTTGTGTGACCCACTGGATTTAATTAGGGCCGCCTGCTCATTTTTATTTGTGTAAATAGGAAGACTTGAAAGTAGGGAATAGCAAAGATCAAAGCAATAAAAATAAATAACATGAAAGATCAGTATTTAAAACTCTTTAAGAGTAATTTTCTTTAATTTAGATAAGGCTGGTGAGATGCCTCAGCAGTTAAGAGCACTTGAGCTCAGTTCCCTGCATCCATGTCATGTCATGTCATGCAGCTCACAACCACCTGGAGCTCCAGCTCGAGGAGATCTGACACCTTCTTCTGAGCTCTGTAGACATGCATGTAGCATATCATCCCTAAGATGCACAAATACCAGTTCTGAGAGGTCTTGACACCTTCTTGTGTGCTCTGCAGACATGCATGTAGTTTATATTCCCTGAGATGCACAAACACCAGCTCTGAGAGATCTGACACCTCCTTCTGGGCACTGCAGACATGTATGTAATGTACATTCACAGAGATGCACAAACATACATGTGCATAAATATAATAAAAATAAATCCATCCTTAAAGGCTATATTAAAATGGTCTATTTTTATTACGTGATATATTGTATAATATTACCTAGTGCAAAATGCCAACATTTATTGATTATCCAGGTGACACAGGCATCTTAAACATTAAAGTAACGAAACCAAAGTCAGTCTCATGTGCTGGCAGTAATCATTCAGTAGCCATAGTCTCTAATAATGGGAAAAAGAATACCATCATCTCAAAGAATGAAACATCATAAATTTGACAAGAATATGTCTACTGCTTCTGTGAATGTACACTTGAGAACATTAAACTATGTGTGATTTTACAGCCTTTGTCACAGAATACAATTTATTTTGGATTATTTTATAAAATCACTTTTTCTGTTTCTGGCTGTTTCTCAAACAGATGCCATGGATTACCTAATCCTTTGGATGCTAAGACAATAGTGTTAAAACAAAACTATTTCTCCCAGTCGCAAAAGTCAAATAAAACATAAAAGGAAAGGCTCTGTCAGGATTCCCCATTATGTCTAATTAACTTGGTATAGTAGTTGGGTAACTATAGTTTTTTTTCATATGAATGACTTAAGCATTTTTGTTTCCATTTTCTACATAAGAAAGAAAACTTTGATTGGATAGCTCAAGATTTTTAAAACAACTATAAAGAATTCTCCTGGATTTTAGAATGAGTAATTTTTTTTAAGTTTAAATATCTTTAATCACCAGAACATAAGTTCATTTGTAAGGGAGTAGCTCAGAAAAAGTTATTTACCTTCTCTTTTCTCTCTTTTTTGTTATATTATTGTTGTTATTGTTGCTTTGGGTTTTGTGTGATTTATGCTTTTCTTTTTTTTTCCTTCAGCCTGCTTCCTTTAATGGATAGCTTTATTTGAAAGTATCCTTATAGTTTTCTTGCATAAAGTTTATTTTGTGAATCTGAAATATATATGAAGCTGCTTCCTTGTATAATTTCTGCTTTATGATTTTTTTTATTTAGGTTAGCTCCAAGGTGTTTTTACTATATTAAAATCTAAGGCTATTTTTATAGCAATTTAAATAAGTAATATTCTGTACTAAAGCATTTATAAATCTTTCCTGCTGTTCAAATCTTTGTAGGTATCGAACAAACTTCGTTAGGATTAAAACATCCTTCCACTTCCAAATTAAACAGTGTTAATCCAAAAAAGCCAAAGACCAATGAAAGCGTTTCTGAAACAAATTCTTCCTCTTCATCATCTTTAAATAAGTCTCCTTCCGAGGCTTCTTCCCAGGTTGTACTATCAAGTAAGTATGAAATCTCATGTAGAAAAATGTATTAGTTAGAAACCATTTTAATAATTGTGAGATGGATTTTTTAAAGATTTTTAAGCTTTTTAAAAGATCAGTTTTTACTCATAAAAGTCCTCAATTTATTTTAGATGAAAATACCTCATCAATTCAGGCTGAAACTGGAGCACCTTCATTAAGATCTTGTCCAAAGTGCAAAGTTAAGTTCAGTTTTTTGGATCCTTTGAAATGCCACATGAAGGTAAAATAGTGTCAAATTTTGAGTTTTCAAAATGTTTATAAATCCAAGAAATAGTAAGAGTAGTAGAGAGTGTTTGTCTATATATTTAAATAAAAACCTTTTATTGTCATTTTCATATGAATAAAAATTAATTTTCATAACGATTATACAAAATTTAAATTCTTCCCAATCATAAAATTATAAAAGTTCATCCTACATACACCATCGTATGTGATCATGTATACTCTATAGTATGTGTGCGTTGCTTTTTAATTTTAAATGAAAATTCATAAACCGTAATATTTTATTGACTAAATTGTGCCATTCTTTTTACTTCTCATAAAGCAGGTGTTTTATTAATCTAAAATATAACAAAATTTCCTTCTATTTTATACTTTTTTCCATGTTGTTATATTCGTTTCCTATTTTTCAATGGAAATTTTAGTTGTGTGTCTTAGTTTTCCACAGTTTCCTAATGAACCATTTCTTATGATATATACAAAATAGGATATATACAGTTATTAATGAATTATAGCTTTATATTGGTATTTCAAACTCCTGAACTTAGGTTTTAGATAAATTTGAAGCTACTAAAGTATGGGATTTAGAGGGATTACTATTAAAATATTTTATGAGATAATATGGTATTCTGTTGTATCTTTCTAAAGATAGTTCATTTTAGCTGGGCGGTGGTGGCGCAGGCCTTTAATCCCAGTACTCAGGAGGCAGAGGCAGGTGGATCTCTGTGAGTTCGAGGCCACTCTGGTCTACAAGAGCTAGTTCCAGGACAGGAATCAAAAGCTGCAGAGAAACCCTGTCTCGAAAAATCCAAAACAACAACAAAAAAAAGATAGTTCGTCTTCTCTTTGCCTGCCCCATGTAAATGGTAGTGAGTGAAGATGCAAGAAAAACAATAAGTAAGATAGGTGACATGGAAAAGAAGGATAGGGAGAATGCAAAGAAGCATCTTAGGAAAGATTCTGCTTACTGTTCCAAAGATATTTTTATTAAATCCCGCCCCTTGAGAAAAGTACAAGAGTAAGAATGAATTCCAACATTTCAAATGCAGTATCTAATCTGGGAACAAAACTGATCCTGGATGTTAATCCCTCTAAGTCCCTGAGCATGTAAGAATAGTGAAGCCAGTCTTACATCATCAGTACTTTGATATTTTACAATTCTATTTTGTATGTCTCTGTATCTTTTTCTCTGCGTGTGTTTCATAACTTCACTGACATTTTAAATAAAGTATCCTTTTGCCTTGTTTAATGCATTCTGGCCTAAATTCCATTTTAATTTATTTATATTGTTCATGTGTAAATGTGTAGGTATATGTCTGTGCAAATTTGTGTGTTTGTGTGTAAGTGTGCACTTCCCACCGTATACATGTAGAGGTCCAAGGACAACCTCAAGTTTTAGTCCTTGCTTTCCACCTTGTTTAAGACAGGGTCTCTTTGTTGGTGGGGGCTGTGTATGCCACATTCTCCAATCTCTGCCTCCCATCTTTTTTTTTTTTTTTTTTTTTTTTGGTTTTTCGAGACAGGGTTTCTCTGTGGTTTTGGAGCCTGTCCTGGAACTAGCTCTTGTAGCCCATCTTTATGTAGTAGTATAGTATTATAGGCGTGTGTTACCATGCCTGACCTTTCTAGGTTCTGGGGATCCAAAATCAGCTTTTCACCCATGTTCAGAAATGCTTTCCCCACTGAAGCATTTTCCTGGCCCTCATAATTCTTATTTTCCTATTTCCATTTGCTTGCTAAATAATTTATTTATTGCCTTATTTTTGAGACAGGGTTTCTCTATGTAGCCTTGACTGTTCTGGAACTTGTTATGTAGACCATGCTAGCCTTGAACTCAGAGATTTACTTGCCTCTATCTCCCAAGTGCTAGGATTAAAGGCATGCACTACCTCGCCCAGCTACTTGCTATGTACTTACTTTATCCTATTATTTTCAATATTTCCAAAGCCCTTTATTATTTATATATTTCTAATTTTTACCGGTGTTGCTTTTTCTTTCTAACCCTATGTGAAAACTACTTTTCTTTCAGGAGTTTAGTTAGATCTTTTTGCAGTCATTGATGTAAAAGATTTAACTGGTAGTATAGGTATGTGGGCATAAGTGAAACCATAAGCGCACACCAATTTCAGAAACCTCCACCTGTACATTTTGCATTTTCTGTGATAACAACAAAATCTATCCTGTTAGCAAATTTTTAAACATTCAATTCAGTGTTGTCAGCTATGCATATTAATGCTGTACATTAGATCTTTAGGGCCTATTTATCTTTTTTTTTTTTTTTTGATTTCGAGACAGGGCTTCTCCGTAGCTTTTGGTTCCTGTCCTGCTCTTGTAGTCCAGGCTGGCCTCGAACTCACACACAGAGATCCGCCTGTCTCTGCCTCCCGAGTGCTGGGATTAAAGGCGTGCGCCACCACCGCCCGGCTGGTCCTATTTATCTTAAATAACTAAACCTATATATCCATTGCCACTTTCCCAGATTATGACACTCAGCATTCTACTTTCTTTCTGTATTATTTAGACTACTGTATATTTCTCATGAAAATATAATCATGAAATACCCTGTTACTGACCTATTTCACTTATATAATGTCTTCCAGGTCTATCCATGTGGTTGGAATAAGTAGAATTCTCTGCTTTCTTAAGGCTGAATAATATTCCAAACTGTCTATTCATCATATTTTCTTTGTCATTTGTATTTTAGTTGATTTAGATTACTTTTGTATCTTGGCTATGAATAACTCTACAGTGAACTTGAGCCTGCAGATTTGTCTTGAAATCCCAAATTCACTTGTTTTGGATAAATACCCAGTATGGTATTGATGGATCATATAGTTATATTGTTTTTAGGAACGTCTGTATTTTTTCACATTGATTTTACTGTTTTGTATTTACGCCAAACAGTGTAAAAGAATTGACTTTCTCCACTTATCTTTTCTCTTTTAGATAGAACCATCCCAGTGAGGCAAAACCTCATTGTATTTTTGAGTTACTGATTTTGAGTGTTTTTTTTTCACATATCGTTCATTTTGTATGTCTTTTTAAAAAGAAATGTCTTTTCCTTTTTTGTTTTCCAAATCTTTATTAGAAAATTTAAGTAATGAAAACTAATGAAAGGTAAAAGGCATCACAATAAAACTAAAAGTGAAACTCAGTAGAAATAACTAAATGTGGAAATGGGGAAAAATAGAATATAACTATTTTAGTAGGGTTAGTGATCAGAAGAGGAAATAGATATAGAAAAAAGTTGAACAGCAATTCCTAATAGACTATCAGTTTATTATTCAGGGTTTTCTAAAGAACAGAACTGATAGGTGAGGAAAATATATATTCAGTTCAATAATATATTTAATATATATTAACATATACTAAAAAGTGTTTGTTAAAATGGCTTATGAGCTGTGGTTCAAGTAGTCCAACAGTGATTATCTCCTAAGGAAAAGGTCAAGGAGATCCGGTAGTTGTTCAATCCACTTCACTGAGTGTCTCTTATTAGGAGTTCTAAGCCTACCAAGTTGCCAGTTTGCATTCCAAATTGGAATCCCAAAAGACTGGGTTCTAACACCAGCAAAGGAACAACTCAGGAACGGGATCAGTAAACTTACCAGTGAGAGTGAAAGCAAGCAGGCAAAAAGCCAAAAAGTTTCTTTTGTTCTTTTATGTGAGATGCCACCAGGAGATATAACCTAGATTTAGGGTGGGTCTCACCTCAAATGATCCAACTGAGAAAAATCCCTCACAGGTGGGCCTAGATGCTTCGGTTTTAGCTAATTCTAGATTTAGTCATATTGGCAAGCAACGTTAGCCATCACAATAAGTAATGTAAAATTCTTTCATAAATGGCAAAATGCTAATCCAGTCAGCAATGACTTTATATATTAAATCCAGCATAGATAACATTTACTGAGATTTAATTATATGGTCATTTGTTTTTCTGAAAGTAATTTTTCTACTTTCATACATAAGTCCCTTTTCTACCATCTGATTATTTTTAAGTTGGTTTAAGATGTTTTTAGTATGGTTGTTATTGTTGTGCTACTGAATTATAAGAATTCTCACAGTTGTTTTCTTTTTTACTATTTATTTATTCATTGTCTTTTGTTTGTTTGTGTTCCGAGACAGTGTTTTTCTTTAATTTTGGAACCTGACCTAGAACTAGCTCTTGTTGACCAGGCTGGCCTCAAACTCACAGAGATCCACCTGCCTCTGTCTCCCAAGTGCTGGGATTAAAGGCGTGCGCCACCACCAACCAGTCACAGTTGTTTTCTAACACCTTAAATAAAAAGTTTAAATACTTAACAATTATAAGAATTCGAATTTGCTAACATTTTCTCCCATTTTATTTTGTTCTCGTTATTATTTTAATGTTTTTTTTTCATTTTATGTGTTTGGGTGCTTTGTTTTATGTATGTTTGTGCACTACTTAACTTGCCTAGTGCTCCTGGATGCTAGAAGCAGCATTGGCCCCCTCAGGACTACAGTTCCAGTCGTGTTGATGTGGGTGCTCAGAATTGAACCCCAGGTCCAATGTTCTTAACTGCTAAGCCACCTTTCCTCTCTGTTCCAGTTATTCTTAGAGAATCCTCCTAGAGAAATTCTACCACTGAAAATTATATATAATAAAAAATTAATTTTTTCCATTGAGAAAAGACTTACTAGTATCAGTTTAAATGAGATTCTGATTTTATTCAAAGTAAATTTCCCCCGTGAAATACTTAAGTATTATAGATAGGACACATTGAGATTTTGAGGATGTAACTGATAACTCTTTTCTTTGTGGGACATACTTTATGTTAGGAGAAGAACATACCAACTCTCCACATAAGTCTAGTTCCAACTATGCTTTGTTAAAATATTACTATGTCATTAGGTAATTAAGCATCATACATAAATGATATATGTGACTTTTAAGTTATATCTTGACATTAATATGAATGAAATCTATGATTTGTGTTCAAAAAGCAAATTAATAAGTCCTACTCTGAAAAGAAAAATTACAAGGTAATTTAAAGTTTTAAAAGTTTTCCATTTATTTTGGAAGCTATTTCATTAAAATGGTGTTTATTGTTGGAATTTTTGCAATTTATAAGGAAAGAAGCCAGTGGTTTTGGTGGATGTCTTCCCATATATCATATATTGCTAAGCATAGCTTTATATGATCTGAACCTACTGTAAATATAGAATAATGTCTGGTTTTTATAAGAAGTACAAATAAAACATACTATTTCTCTTCTTTTAGCGTTGCTGCCCAGACATGATAAATAACTTTCTGGAGACTGTTAAGTCAGAACATTCAACGACTGAAAACAAAGCTAACATTGGCTCGGATAAAGAAAAATTGATCATGCTAGTTAGTGATTTTTACTATGGAAGACATGAAGGAGCGGTTGAGGAAGATCTAAAGACTTACACAACTTTTAAATGCTTCAGTTGCTCAAAAGTTCTTAAAAATAATATTAGGTATGTAAATATTTCTTTGTTTGAAAATTAAGAAACAATAATTTGCATCTTGATCTTTTAGTATAAATACATTTTTCTTTGCTATCCTTAGGTAAACCATCATAATATTTCTGCTAAGAAAGGCTATTTGTTATGCTGAAAGTTGTACCAGGCTTTTCTTTTGGTCCACCAACCAGCTGCCAAATCATGACGAAGAGACGTATTAGTTTTGAATGTTCAACCCTAACTTAGGCTCTTTTCCAGCAAGCTCTTTTAACTTTAAATTAACCTGTTTCTCTTTACCTTTTGCCTCAGAGCTTTTTATCTTTTCTTTCCTTCTGTAAATCTTACTTTCACTGCTTGTGCCTGGCTGGCTGGTCCCAGGCATATCCCTTTTTCTCTTCTCTTTTTCCTGCCTCTTCCTTCCCTATTTACTCTCTGCCGGGAAGACCAGCCTATCCCTCTCCTGTCTAGCTGTTGGCCGTTCAGCTTTTTATTAGACCAATCAGGTGACTTAGGCAAGCAAAGTGAAACAGCCACACATCTTTTCATAATTAACAGCATACCTTTATGCAGTTAAAATAATAGTCTGCAGTATAAACGAATATAACACATCTTTGCCCAGTTAAAATAATATTCCACAAAAGAAAATTTTTATTTTGTCTTCTATTTCATAGTTTTATACCTGGGTCTACCCAGTTAGAATTTTTCAGATAGCTTAAGAAAACACAAGAGTATTTACTGTAACTTGGGGAAAATAACATATTTTCCACTTGTCTGAGTTACTTTCCTATTGCTGTGATAAAACACCATGGCCAAGGTTTTAATTTGAGCTTATTGTTTCAAGTGAAGCAGAGGTATGGTATCAGGAACAGCTGGGAACTCACATCTTTATCCACAAATAGGAGGCAGAAAGAGATCAAGACACTGAAAGTGACCGGAGTCTTTTGAAACCTCAAAGCCTGACTCTAGTGACACGTCCCTTATAACAAGGCATTTCTGAACAGTTCCTCCCTTTTGAAAACAAATATTCAAACATATGAGCCTGTCAGGTCCATTCTCTTCCTAGACACCACATTCCAATCTGTATTGGTCAGAGTTCTCTAAAGAAACATAACTGATAGCATGAATATATATATATATAAATATGTGTAGAGGGATTTGTTAGAGTAGCTTAACAGGCAGGCTGTGGTCCAAGTAGTTGTACAGTGGCTGTCTTTTGATGGAAAGGCCAAGGATTTGATAGTTGTTCGGTCTACAAGACTAGATGTCTCAGCAGTCCCCAGTCTGGTGTCAGAGTCCCAAGGAAGTCCTAGAGAGCTGCCAGTCTTCAGTCTTTGTTGAAATCTAGAAAAAGTAGGCGAAAAGCATAGTCTTCCTTCCTCTATAGCCTTTTATGTAGCTACCATCAGAAGGTGAGTCTTCTCACCTCAAATGATGGCAGTAAAGAAAATCCCTTACGGATCTTGCAGCCTGGGTTTTACTTAATCCAGATGTGATCAAATTGATAACCAAGATCAGTCACCACATCCCTACATTTATTTTCTCGTCGTGTTGAATCTTATATTTATTTACATAACAAGAACTACTTTATTCTGCCTAGTATCTTCCATGCTAGTCTTATTTTTCAATATTAGCTCGAATTTTTATTCTAGCTCATTTTTTTCAACTCATAATTTTCAGCATATTTACCTCAGGAAAAAAATTATTCATATTTAAATTATCTTCTTTAGAGAAGTTGTATACAACATGTCTGCTTTGGTTTTTTTTCTTTACAATTTTTATAACATATACAATGGAGTTCTAAAGTTTTTTTTTTTGAGACAGGTTCTTACTATATATCCAAATTCACTATGTAGACTAGGCTGGCCTTAAACTCAGAGCTGTACCTGCTTCTTCCTCCTGATTAATGGGGTTAAAGGTGTGTGCCACCATGCCTGGTTGAAATTCTAAAGATTTTGTAAGTTTTTATCTTAAAATTTAAGAGCTTATATTTTATTATCTGAATTATATGGCATGTTGAATATTTATCATCATAAGTAAGATAGTAATAAATCAAAATAAGACAATTGACTGAATTTTTTTCATTGGTTTTATAGCCTTGTATTTGTGGTAAATGACTTTGTTTTCCCAATTGGTGTGTGTATAATATTTTTCTTGATATTTATTGTTAATACTTCTAAGATTTTTCTAGAGGAAAAAAAGTTTGAGACAGGGTCTCTCTATTTAGTAGCTCTGGCTGTTGTGGAACTCATTATTGTATCTCAGGCTTGCCTCGAATACACAGCGATCCCCCTGCCTCCCAAGTGCTAGAACTAAAGGTTTTAAACCATGCCTGGATTAGAGAAAAAAATTTTGAGAGAGGGTCTCACTGTGTACCTATGACTAGTCTGGAACTCACTGTGTAAACTAGACTGGCCTTAAGACCACATAGCTCTGCCTGGCTCTGCTTTAATCCTGAATTAATGGTATGTACCACCATGCCCCCACTAGAATTTTTTTATAAATATAACCTAATATATTTCTTAAAGCCTGGTCTTTTATTCATTCTTTTATTCTATTCATATTTACTAAATTACTACTATTTGTAAGAATTGGGCTATGAGCTCTGTCAAATACAGACATGAGTCAGTAAAATCTTCACATAGCTTGTAGACTTTATAGACACATACAGTACAGCTTTAGGGAAACTAATAAAGTATGGGTTAGTAGCCCTTTTCTTACTGTTTTTATTGTTTGAGAATTTCCTATATGCATATAAAACATTTTGATCAATTCCACCCCATTTCTTTCCCCTACTTTTTACTCCCAAGGTCATTGTTTTTTTTCCCTTAAACCTACTGGGTCCACCTAGTACTGTTTGGTGTAGCAATGTAGGGCCATCCACTGGAGCATGAGCAATCTTTTAGGGACCACATTCCTGAAGAAAACTGACTCTTCTCTCCCACCAGCAGCCATTAATTGTCAGTAGTTTCTCGATTAGGAATGGGACTTCATGAACTCTTTCTCAATCCATGCTGAGATTTTGACTGGCTTGATCCTGTATAGGCCTTGTGCATACAGTCACAACTACTGTGAGTTCATGTGTGTAACAGTGCTAGTTTCCCAACATTTTATAATAAAATTGCTTAAATATTTAACAAGGATTACTTTTCAGAGTAACTTACAGACATCTACGAAAACCAAAAGAGTAGAGAAGATATTGTACTCTATGTATTTACATTGCTAAGCAATGGAACAGATGTGTTCACTTTAGGGAATACTGTCAGGCACACAGTAAAGGGAACATTTTAATTTACTCTCTCATTGGATCCAGTTACTTTTGTCAGTGCTAGATTTTGTTGTTGTAGCCATGCTGGTAGGCATCTGGTGATGCGAAATTGAGATGAGGAGGGTGGGCATTGGAACTGTGGTGTTCTTTGCAGTTTCCAGATGAATAATGGTGCTGAGAACCTTAAGCTCATCAGTGCCTACAACTGTCTTGTGAAATGCCCGTTAAATATTGCTTACTATTTCATTGGAGTATCTGTTTTTATGATATATTTTCAATTCTTTGTATACATATTTTGAGTTCTTTTTCACTTTTTCTAGAGTACAATTAATCCCCCCCCCCATGGAAACTGCTCTTTTGAAAAAAATCTTAAGTTTGCTCCCCTAAAATAATAGGTACATTCTATCAGGTTTGATTCAAAAAAAAATTCATTGCTTTAGACTTAACACTCAAACCTACATTATACCTTGAATTGTTTGTCTGCAGAGGAATAAAAAACTGACTCCTTCTAGATTCACATGATCCATCAGCATTCCCTGGGAAGTTGTGTCTCCAGTGCACTGCACACATGACCTTCTGTCATTACTCATAGGACTACATGTCTGTGGGTCTGTGTCTGACTGATGTCTGTTCTGTCTTCATCTACTTGCTTACTCTCTAGTTCACATATGTCTGTGGTGTGTGTGTGTGTCTGGTCAGACACTGACAGGAAATCCTTCCTAAGTTGCTCTCACCTTCATTCATTGAGGCAGGGTCTCTCAGTTGCACACAGTGCCCATCATTTAATCTAGTGTATCTAGTTGCCTTATTCTGGGGATCTGCAGTCTCTGCCTTTCCTGACCTGAAATGAGAATGTGAGACTGCATATGACTTATCATGTGTTACGTGGTGATTTCAGGATTTATTTGATATGCTTTAGATATTCATCATAATCCTGAGACATGAATATTATTAGTCTAATTTCATAGCTAAAGAGCCTGAGGCATTGGGGGGTTGAGTAACTTGAGAAGAGAGCACAGAAACTGAACTGTGCAATGCCAATAATCCCAGTACCTAGGATGCTGAGACTGTATGATTGTGAAACCATCCTGGGCTACCTAGAAACCCTGACTCTAAAAAAGTAGATATTGTAGAATGTAATTATAGCCAGGTATAAAGAACAGTGTTTTGAAGCCTGTAATCCCAGCACTCAGAAGGTAGAGGCAGGAGGATCAGAATTTCAACACAGGCATCAGCTATGTAATAAATTCAAGGCCAGTTTGGGCTACATGAGACTTTGTCTCAACAAACAGAAATAAAGAGTGCTTTGGTAGTGGTGTGAATAGGAGATGAATGATCAAAACCTCCGAGATGATTGGTTCTCTAAACTGATAAGATTATTACTCAATTATAGCATGGTTTTTATAGAAACTCATAGTGATTTGTTATAGTCAACCTAATCTTAAAATTGCTTTTGATTGTTGTTTCTCTTACTTCCTACCTTAGCCTCCCTAGCTCTACGATTACAGCTGTGAGCCGCCACATACACCAAAGTGTTTTGATTGATTGAGTTAAATTCAGTTTGGTAAAGGCTTTAAAATAGGTTTGCCCATTTATATCATAAGCTTTGTCATGGAAAGGCAAAGTTCCTTCTCATAAGAAGCCCATTTATGAGAATGTAAAACTAAGCAAATGGAAGGTGTTACAAAGATTTAACACACTGCAAGAAAAATAATACTTTCTGCATTATAATTTTTGACATTGTGACAGATATCTAAGAGAAACAGTTTAAGGAAGAAAGAATTGTTTTCTTCATGGTTTCAGAGGTTCCAGTCCATGATTAGCTGGTGCCTGTTGCAAGGCAGAATCAACATGGAGGAAGGATATAGTGAAGGAAAGTCATTTATCTTGGTAATTAAGAGGCATAGGAAGTGCCAGGGGCAAGGTCCCTCATTTTAGGGTCTGCAGCCAATGATCTACTTCCCTCAGCTAGGTCCTGCCTTCCAGTGATGCCGTTTTATTACGACTACACCACTGAATTAATACATTGATTAGATCAGAGCCTTCAGGATCCAGTCACTTCCCAAAAAGCTGACTCTAAGGACATAAATATAATATCTTGAATTGCAGCCATGCAACTACATTTTAAAATTTTTAGGATCAGATAATTATTTGTGAACTTTTTGTTGTTATAAATCTGCATTTTGCACCTATTTTACTCTGATTTCTAGGTTCATGAACCACATGAAACATCACTTGGAGCATGAAAAACAGAACAGTGAGTCCTGGGAAAGCCATACCACATGCCAGCACTGCTATCGGCAGTATCCCAACCCCTTTCAGCTACAGTGCCACATTGAAAGTACACACACTCCTCATGATTTTTCTAGTAAGTAACAGTTTTAATGAATTTGATTATCTGATTATTAGGGAACCTGTTTCTTTTACTACTCATAGTAGTAGTGTTACTGTATTATTTGATGTTTTGATTTATACAAAATGAATCTTGTTTTCATATGCATGTGAAAATGGTATTTTTTTTTCTCTTTCAGCTATTTGTAAAATCTGTGAATTGTCATTTGAAACAGAGCATATGCTTTTACAACATATGAAGGACACTCATAAGCCTGGTGAAATGCCATATATTTGCCAGGTATACACATTTATTGTATACTTCAGTGTTTGTTCAGTGTCTGCATGCCATTAAATAGTATTGTTTCCTTTTATTTCTGAAGCATTTAAATAAAATTAATTAATATACTAAAATTGAAAAACCTCTGTTTAGTGAGATTTCCATTTGTTGGGAATTGTTCATACATGGGTATAATGGGCTAGATTTGGCCTTCTTGGCCATAGTTCTCTGACTACTGTAATCGAAATTGTCCAACTAGAGAATGACAAAGATGGGCTTATCATACAGGGAAGAATACAGATGTTTTGGAAAATAGGAAATATTTGAGAACTAAATATCTTTAGACCAGTGGTTTTTCAGAATTTGAAGTGACTTCCGGTATTAAGACAGCAACATAAAAATATACTGTCTCTGGCTTAGCCTGAAAAAAGAATAAGTGGGATCAGTGCTTAAAAATTTAAGTCAACATAAGGGATGATCGATCTGCAAAGAGGAATAAAATCTATGTTTTAAAATATCCCTAGTGCAGAATGTTTTTCTAAACCAATGATATGTCACTGCTAATGTGATGTAAATTATATGCAAATTATAAAATTTTATATTGAGCTTAAACTTTATTTCTAGGTTTGCCAGTTTAGATCATCAATATTTTCTGATGTAGAAACTCACTTTCGATCATCCCATGAGAACACTAAGAACTTGCTGTGTCCATTTTGTCTCAAAGTTAGTAGAATGGCAACCCCTTATATGAATCATTACATGAAACATCAGGTGAGATTTAAACTTACTTTCTTCATATTGTTTTATGGAAAAGATATACAGACTTAGAACATTCATTAAATTTATTCCTAGAAGACAAAATTGTTCCAAACGACGTTTGACAGCTTATGCTGATTTATGAAACATTCACTTCTTTTTCTTTCTCATTTTCAGGTAATTCTAAGGTCCATAATCTGAACTTTCTGAAAGCTGTCACTAGAAATAGGAACCACAGAATGGGGGGGGGAGTAAATGAATGGAATATATAAGTTGCATATTTTGGCATCCCAGATTGCTAGGCATTGTGTCTTGTGGGTAATTTTGAAGAGCATAGGAAAGGATTTTAACTGAGAAAGCGTAGACTTACAACCTTATGATTTTGCTTTTCTTCAAATCTTTCCACTTACTAGTCCATTTTTTGTTGCTGTTATGAGAAGACAAGTAATTGTCATCAGTGACCCAGGGTGGTTTCTAGTGGTAGCTGCTAAAAGAGGAAACAGTTGTGACTCTTATTACCAGATTTATAAACTGTGTCAGGAAACTATACTTAGGTTGTGACTTGCTTCCTACATGACTTTTGCTAGTTGTACTTTATAATTTCTAAGATACCAGTATCAGTGCTTGCTCCTCTCTTGAGTTCTGATTTTGTATTCACCTAGTCTTTCTTTTCTTTTCTTTCTTTGTTGTTTGTTTGTTTGTTTGTTTGTTTAGAGACAGGGTTTCTCTGTAGTTTTGGAGCCTGTCCTGGAACTAGCAATTATAGACCAGACTGGCCTCGAACTCAGAAATCCACCTGCCTGTCTCCCAAGTGCTGGGATTAAGGACACGTACCACCACTGCCCAGCCTCACCTAGTCTTTATATATCTCCTCCTTCCCTACTACCTTCCTCTTTCTCACCTGTCCCTTTATTCTTAGTTCCTTTATTCCACTAGACAGTTTCATTTCTCTTTTTAGTACTTAGTTCTGGATGGATTAATACAACTCTGGTCTAAGAGAGTGCTTTGAGGTTGGTGTCTGGTATTCTTGATCCTTAATCTTTTTCTTTATTCTTTCACTGTAATAAACAAAACTGGCTGAATCAGCAAACCTGGGATACTTATGGAAATCATTGATATCCTATGAGTACTCTCTTCGTCTATTTAGGCATCTGTACCACTATAATGAACTGGATCAAATAATAAATATTTATTTCTCACAGTTCTAAAGGAGGGAAAATTGAAAATCAAGGCACCAAAAGAATTGGGTCTGGCAAGGGCCTGCTTCTTGATTCACAGATGCCCGTGTTCTCACCGTGTCCTCACATGGCAGAAGGGGCAAAACAGCTCTTTTATAAGGACACTATCCCACTGCCTCCCTGATCTAATTGCCTTCTGAACATTCTGCCTCCCAGTGACGTTACATTGGAGCTCAGGAATTCCATATAAGAATTCATATAAGAAAGATGACATTCATTAAGTTTAGTATACCTAAGAGGTAGACATTCAACAGGAAAGAGAAAAAAATCTTTTCATAAGGCTTATCATGTATTTCTCAGATATTTTCAGTTTGAAAGTCAGAGATGAGCAGTTTTAGTCTTGTAATGGAAATTACATTATTAATACACTAACAATTATTGAATTTGTAGTTTGTTATTATTTGTTAAGATTTTTTTTGTATGTAACATTTTCCTAAAAGGAATATAATTTTAGGAATATTAGTTTGCATAATGTTTAAGAAATACTAAAGTTTTTAGATATGCTAAATATTTTCCTTAATTTCTTAGTAGTAAAATTACCAACTACTAATCATTTGCTTTATAATAACAGTGATGCTTTTATGTCCATTTTATTTAACAGCTATCCTATGAAGTAGGTATATGATCGTTTCCATTTTATAAAAGGGAAAACGGGCTGGAGAGCTGGCTCAGTGATTAAGAGCACTGGCTGCTCTTCCAGAGGTCCTTAGTTCAATTCCCAGCAATCACATGGGGTGGCTCACAACCACCTTCAGTGGGATCTGATGCCCTCTTATGGCATAAAGGTATACATGCAGATAGAATATTCATACATAAAATAAATAAATAAATTTTTTAAAAAGAAGGGAAAACAAAGCTTTATAGGGAATAATTTGACCAATATCACATTCTCCAACAAATGGCAGCTAAAAGTTGATTCAGAGCCTAAACTTTATCACTGACTCAAAATCCACAATAATAGGTAGGAAGGCAGAGATTACAGAAAATTAATATTACTCTTGAAAATCCTTTAAATTCATCAAACAGTATAGTGGCTTGTCAAATTTCAGTACAGGGAACCTTTTGTGTTTCTTTTTTTAACCTTTGTAATATATCACTGTCTCTTTGGTTGGATATCATGGTATTCCTGTATCCTCATCAACCTTAGTACCTTGCAACATACATACACATGAAAGACATTGAAAATTTAAGTTTAGTTAATTTTAATATTAGATTAATATCTCTAACACAGGCCTCTAAGAAAATCTACTCTGAATGGAATAACAGGCATTTTAAACTCAATGAATTGTGTTCTGTGCTTATGTGTATTTTTCCGTTCTCTTGCTGCCTAACTTGCTATTTATTTAACAAATAATTTATAGCATATAAATATTAGGAATGCTAAAGTGAGAAAAGCAGCCTCTGCCCTCTGAAATTTGTACTATAATGTGGAAAGGTGTGTGTGTGTGTGTGTGTGTGTGTGTGTGTGTGTGTAATTTACATACGTACCAGTTAGTAGTAAATACAGTGGGAAGAAAGTGCAGGTGGATTAGGATTTCTAGATCTTTTGTGAAGTGGTGGGTGCTCTTTTTTACATTTTTTGGTCAAAAAAGGCCTCTCCTGAGGGGATAAGGCAATATATAATATGGCCATCAGAAAGAGAATATATTCTAAACATATATTTTTTATGTTTTAAAATATTTTAAATAGATTAGATATTTTAAATAGATTAGATATTTAAATAGATTAAAATATTTTAAGTAGATTAGATAGTGAGGTGAGCATATATTTGGGATGTTGAAGGAATAGCAACAGTGTTAATATGGCTAAAGCACAGTAAAGAAGCAGTAAGGCCAGGTGTGACTCACACCTTTAATTCCAGCGCTTGAGAGGCAGAGGCTGGCAGGTCTCTGAGTTTGAGGCCATTCGGGTCTACAGAAAAAGTTCCAGGACAGCCAAGGCTACACAGAGAAATTAAGTCTCAAAAAACCAAGGAAGGGAGGGGGGGAGGGGAAGGGACAGGAAAGGAAAGGAAGGGAAGACAGCAGTAGGAAAGTAGTAGCTGAGGATGTGGTGATGGAAGATGGGAGTCAAGCCAGATGAAGTAAGGCCTTGTGTGCCAGAGTCAGGATTCCTGAGAGTAAATGAAAAGTCATCAAAGGACTCTTTTGTTTTGTTTTTTTTCGAGACAGGGTTTCTCTGTGTTGCTTTGGCACCTGTCCCTCCTCGAACTGTTAGCTTTTGTAGACCAGGCTGACCTCAAACTCACAGAGATCTGCCGTTTTCTGCCACCAAAGGATTTAAGCAACTGAGAAATGTATGATTTTAAGGTCACCCTAGCAGCTGTGGAAAGGAATGACCATACTAGGCGTTAAAAGATAGAAACAAGGAGAAGATAGGAACCTTTTTCAGAGTTCACACGTGGCTTTTACTAGTATGGATGGTAGCAGTGGTTGGAAGTAATGAAAAAATAGAAAGATAAGTGATTTAAACATATTGCCAATAACTTACAGGTTGTATTAATGTGTAAGAAAGAGGAGTTAAGAGTGACCAAGTCTGGTGTTTGTTATGAGCTACTGTAAGAATTGAATTTTCATATACTGAGACATTAGAAAAATATGGAAGGAATAAATTTTTAAGTGTATAATAATTTTTGAATTATTATTTCCACTTCCTTTTCCTCTCTCCAACCCTTCCCATAACCCCTCTCCTCTTGTTCTCTCTCATTGATATCCTATTTTTCTTTACTTGTTGTTACACACACAAACATACACATGCACACCCCTAAATATATAACCTGCTCTAACCATATAATGTTACCTGTATGTATATGATCTAAGGATTGCTCATGTGATACTGGATAACAATGGGGGACCCTTTCATGATACTTTTACATGGAAGCATATAGTGTTGTGTTTCATTTTGTACATGAAAGAGAAGTTACTATTTCCTAGAGAATATATATATTTGAATCAGTGATATATGAAAATGCTTGCCTATTCTACATGAAATCCTAGAATTCATCTCCAATACTTCAAAAATGAATGAATGAATGGCTCCATATAGCCCAGTGATAGCATAAAGGCTTAAATATGATCCCTAGCACCAAAAAGGAAAAAAAAAGAATATTTTGGCATTATCTATGATGGGAGATGGTAAAATGGTTGCTTTTAAAATTTTAGAGATGTAAGTCAAAGAGAAATTTCAGGTCTCAGGGTTTGTGGTCGGTAGTTGTTAGTGACTCTAGAATGTGGTGGTACATACCTGTAATCCTAGCACTTGGGTGCTGAAACAGGAGGATCATAAGAAACCAACAAAGTATAACACAGAGCTTTCAACAGCAGATGGGGTATATAGTGAGACTTTTCTCATAAAAGAAAACAATTTTAATATCATTTCTAATAATTTTTATAAACAGAATAAAGGAATTTATCGTTGCCAAAAATGCAGACTACAATTTTTGACCTGCAAGGAGAAAACAGATCATAAGTTAGAACATCGCACATTTATAAAGCCTAAAGGACTAGAAGGATTGCCTCCTGGAACAAAAGTGAGTATTAAATATGTTGTATCCTAGTATTTTGTCTAGTAAAATCCTTGACTGGCGGTGGTAGCGCAGGCCTTTAATCCCAACACTCAGGAGGCAGAGACAGAGATGGGCGGGTCTCTGTGAGTTCAAGGTCAGCATGGTCTACAGAGTGAGTGCCCTGACAGGCTCCAAAGCTACAGAGAAACCCTGTCTCAAAAAATAAACAAGTAAATAAGTAAATAAAACCCTTGACTGGTTATAGTGGTGCATGCTTTTAATCCTACCACACAGTATGCGGAAGAAGCAGGTGGATCTGAGTTCAAAGATAACCTGATCTACATAGTGAGTTCCAGAACAGTGTGACTCTGTCTCAGAAAGGGGGTGGGGGAATAAAGAAAGGGAAAAAAAACTCCTGTCTGGGTATTGAATATAATATAAAAATATTGTCTACTTTTATTAAGAACTAAAGTTAAAATTTTGTTACATTTTTTAGTGTGTGAGTGTGTGTTATATTAATACCTGGGCATCAGATACCCTGGGGTTGCAAGTAGTGAGCTGCCACCCTACATGGATTATGGATTCTGGAAACCAAACTCAGGTACTCTGCAAGAGTATCAAGTGTTAAGAACTGCTGAGTTTTTTATCTCTTCAGCCAGGTTTCATTATTCTTACGCTTGAAAAGTAAAACTTCTGACTGTTGTTCGAGTTGATTTACAGGTGCCTTGTTGAAGTGACATTCCTTTGTTGTAGGCTGAGTCACTAAGTGGTTGTACTGTTCTGTAGGCTTTTTATTTATTACATGTCTCTACTGCTAGACTACAAAAGCATTTGAGACTGGGAGTCACATTTAATTTATCTTTGTAGTCCAAGCATCTATCATAGCGACTTGAATATTATGGTGTTGAAGTTGATGTTACTGAATCTACTTACAGAGAAACAGGTTCTTTTCCTGAATGACATTACTGTTTTTTTAAGGTTTATTTTTTGTGTATACAGTGTTCTGTCTGCATATATGCCTGCAGGCCAGAAGAGGGCGCCATATCTCATTACAGGTGGTTATGAGCCACCGTGTGGTTGCTGGAATTGAACTCAGGACCTCTGGAAGTGCAGTCAATGCTCTTAACCTCTGAGCCATCTCTAGCCCCAACATCACCGTTTTCAGTGAATAAACATACATTTGACTATAAATTTAGTTCTCTATGTTAGTTCACCATACTTTTTCTCTGGTTTCTTTATGTAAAGTTTGCTCCCAAATATTTGGTCTGGCACATGGATGGATAATACAAAATTAAATTATTCCCAAGCTTTCATGTTTGGCTTTTAGCACATACTTTTGTGAGTGTATCTGCTATTAGAATTACCTAAAATAATACAGAGCAATTGCTGTGAACATCTAGAGTAAGAAAAGCATTTCAGTGTAACTTCTTGCAACCCATTTATCCCGTGTTGAGACTAAACATGGAGAATACTAATATAAACATTGCAAAGCTCTCATATTTTCCATATTGTAATACAGTGGTAGTAATAATAATACCCATGTCCTTTTTTTATACATTCTAATTTATCCAGTCAGCAATCCAACAAGACAGGAGAGTGAGTTAGTATTATCCCTGTATTAGAGATAAAGAGAATTAATTAGATGGAATCAATTATTTACTTAAAATTACAGGAAGAGTTGAAAAATGCATTCTTTAGATGCTCATAGTTTACATTAACTTCTAATTATCTATTAATATCTCTTTACATATAAATGTTACCAATATAAAATTATAATATTTCAATAGCAAATAAACATTTAACTAAATTTCATTTAACTGGTAAGAACATTTAAAATAAATGGGAAACTGGGCCAGTGAATAAAGGTACTTGCCTCCCAACAATGCAAGTCTGATTATCTGATTTCAATTCATAGAACCCATATAGAGATAAAAAGAATCAATTCCAGAGTTTTTCTTTGACCTCTACATATGCACCAAGTATACACACACACTACAAAAAGTAGAGTAAATGGAAAGTATATCTAGTTGCATCTTATGGTTTACTCCTTTAAATAATAATATTTGGCTTTTTGAGTCATACTGATTTTTTTGTAATAGCTTATTTAGAATATAATTCATGTACCAGACATTTTTTTCCATTGAAAGTGCTCGGTTCAGTGGTTTTATTAATATTCAGAGTTGTTAAAACACCATCTCATGCAATTTTGGACCATTTGCATTATCAGTAAAAGGAACTCTACATCCATTAACAGTGGCTGTGTTCTAGCACCACTCAAAGCAAGATAGAATCTCTTCCCTATGAATTTTCTCATTTTGAGAAGTCCATGTAAAGGAAATAAATACAATATACAGTCTTTGAGGATTTATTTTATTTGCCTCATCTGTCTTGTAGCATGTTCCAGTGCTTCATTCCTTCCATGATTGACCATATTTCATTGTGTGTATATTTTCATTCATCAGTTGGTGGTATTTGAGTTTTTTAGATTGTGCAATGATGCTATAAATATTTTTGTAAAAGTTTTTGTGCAAGCATATGTTTTCATTTTCTTAGGAATGTACCTAGGAGTAGAATTATGGGCTCCTTTGCTAAGGCTTAAATTTAGTGTTTATATCTTCTTTGAAGAGATGCCTGTTTGTCTATTTTGTTATTTGCTTATGCTTGGGATGGCATATTTAACAAGTCATTGACTGGGCTGGAGAGATGACTCAGCAGTTAAGAACACTGAGTGTTCTTCTAGAGGACCCAGGTTCAATTCACAGCACCCACATGGCAGCTAACAACTGTCTGTAACTCCAAAACCTGACACCCTCACACAGATATATATCCAGGCAAAATGTCAATGCATATAAAATAAAAATAAATTTTTAAAAACTTCATTGCCTGCAGGCATGGTGGTGCCTTTAATTCCATCACACATGGGAGGCAGAGGCAGGGGGATGTCTATGAGTTTCCAGCCTGGTCTATATAGTAAGTTCCAGAACAGTCAATGCTATATAGAGAGACCCTCTCTCAAAAAAAATAAATAAAAAATAAAAAGTAGAAGAGAATTTATTTCTGTATTTTCTTCTGAGAGTTTTGTAATTTTAACACTTGAGACTTGGTCCTTGATATATGTTAAGTTCATTTTTTTATGTTTAATATGAAGTAAGGGTTCTAATTCATCCTTCTACATGTGAATGTCAGTTTTTACATCACTGTTAAAATGTTGAAAGAACTGTCATTCCTGCCTTTAATTGTTTTGGCACTCTTGTAAAACAAAGCATTTGATCACAAATGTGAGGGCTTGGGCTGCCTGGAGAGATGGCTCAGTGGGTAAAATACTTGTACAAATGGGAAAACTGAAGTTTTGGAGCCGTAGCAATCTCTAAAATAAATGTGGGTAGATGTGGTGGCCCAACTATAGTCCCAGAATGTGGGGGATGGAGGGAATACAGGGGATTCTGGGTGCAAGCCAGCTAGCTAGACTAGCCAAACTGTGTTTAAGCAAAGAGGCCCTGCGAAAGCAATTGAGGAAGACACCTAGTATCAAACTTCAGGCCTCCATATACACAAATGTGTGCATCCACACACACGAACATATTTACACATATTAGATAACTAAATGTGAACCCTTACAGGCAGTGTTTTTTGTTTTGTTTTTAAAGATTTATTCTATTTACTTACTTATGTATACAGTATTCTGCCTGTAGGCCAGAAGAGGGCACCAGATCTAATTACAGATGGTTGTGAGGCACCATATGGTTTCTGGAAATTGAACCCCAGTCCTTTGGAAGAACAGAGTTGCCAGTGCTCTTAACCTCTGAGTCATCTCTCCAACCCACAGGTAGTGTTTTTAATGCCACTTTAATAATCTAAAAATACATCCTGCCTTTGTTTTCATAGGTTACTATTCGAGCTTCGTTTGGATCTGCTCAATCAAGATCATCAAGTCCACCTTCTAGTTCTATTCCTAGCACTTCTCTTCAAGTCGCAGCTCCAGAGTCTAAAAGTACACCTACTAAAATCAACACAAAAGTATTTGCAAATAAAAGGAAGACAACTAAATGTCAGGCAGTCTTAACTGCGACATGTAAACCCAATTCAAGTAAACCAGGTACAGGTGCAACTAAATCCAAAGCCAAGTCCTCCTCCAAGCAAAAGAAGCAGCGCACCAGGAAAAACAAATTCAGTATTGCTCTGAAGAATTTGAGGTACTGTCTTTATCCATTATATGATACTAACTTAATCTCAGAAGTTAGATGCTTTGTTTTAATGACTTACCATGTCACATAACCTTCCTCTACACTTTAATTATAAAATCTAAGCAGATAAGAAAATGGTACATATTTACAACTATCAAGTAGAATTTAAACTGCTGTGTTATGATTTTAATTTTTTTCATTAGTCTTAAACTTTGTATTTTTACCTAATGACATTAAATTCTTTAACTAAATCCCTTTTTTGTTGTTGTTGTTCTTGTTCTTGTTTTTGTTTTTGCTTTTCAAGACAGGGTTTCTCTGTATAACCATCCTGGCTGTCCTGGAACTCAATTCATAGACCAGGCTGGCCTTGAACTGACTGAGATCTGCCTGCCTCTGCCTCCCGAGTGCTGGGATTAAAGGTGTGCGCCACCACTACCCAGTTCAACTAAGCCTTTTTACTCTAGGGAAATATTTATATTTGTTAAACTTTTTGCACTCATTTTTCTTATTACTTCAAAAAATTTTCAGATTTTAAATATATCTATTTGATAATCTTAAACATCTTTTTTTCAATTAATTGTTAATAAGAGTTTCCTTATTTTATGGTATGACTTTTTTTTTCTGTCTCCATAAGATGTCACCAGGGAATTCACACGTGTATTGAGTGCCATTCCAAAATAAAAGATTTTTCAAGCCACTTTTCTACATATATAAACTGTGATTTTTGCAAGTACACTACTAACTGTAACAAAGCCTTTACAAATCATATGAGGTAAGTTGAGCATGTAAGTGCCAGTCAAAATTACCTTTCAGAGCTGGGGTATAACTTCTTGATTTACCATTGCCTAGTATGTGTAAAAAGCTCTAGATTCAATTCCTAGAAACAAAAAATATTGCCACCCAACTTTGATGGCGAATGCCTGTGATCCCAGCATTTGGGAGGTAGAAGCAGAAGGATCAAGAATTCAAGCTTATCCCCAGCTTTATATTAAGTTTAAAGGTAGCTTGGGCTTCATGAGACTTCATGTATCAAAAATCACTACCCTTTGAGGAGTTTTTTATTTGTTGTTTGTTTTAAAGACAAAATGTCCTATTAAAAGTATATGTGTCTCATCATGGAAGTACAATTCTAGAAATACAGAATGTCTAGGATGTTCCTTGCATGTTTTCAAATTAATAATTTATAAAACCACTGGGACAGAAGTTATAAAACCAGTTAAATTCATATAATTAGGCTGGCTTTATTAAATAAATTATTTTAAAAATACTTATTACATTATGTATATTAGTATTTTGCCTGCTTTTGTGTATATATATATACATTGAATAGTTAGTGCCCATAGAGACCAGAAGAGGGTATCAGATTCCCTAAGACTAGAGTCAGAGAAAATTATGAGCTGTTGTGTGGGTACTGGGAATGAATCCAAGTCCTGAAAAAGCAACGAGTGCTCTTAATTGCTGAGCCATCTCTAATCCCCAGGCTCCAGGGTTTTTAATGATGCTAAAGAACACTTATTTTCATTCCCCTCCTTCTCTCTGACCTTTTCGTCTCTTTGCCATCCATCTTTTTCCTCATTTAATGAAAAGATCATGATGCAACCATTGAGATCCTTTTTCATACATTGATTCAACTTCCCATTATTTTGCTCTTATTAAGGGTTCTATGTGAGGGGAACACTTCAGGGCCCACTTTGCTTTCATTTGGACCTCATTACTAGAGGCTTACTTTGTTCCTTCAGGATGGATTTTTAAGCCAAAAAGCACTCAGACATAATTATATGTCAACTATTCCTATTAAAGTTCTGCCTCTTTTCAGCTAAATAAAGTACAATCTCTAAAAGTAATTTTCTTGAAGATTATTTTACTTGAGACAGGGTCTCTCTCACTGTATAGATAGCTCTGGATGGCCTGGCCTAAAATTCTCTATATAGACCAGGATAGCTCAAACTCAGAAGAGAACTGCCTACCTATCTCTCCTGAGTGCTAGGATTAAATGCATTTGTTATCATACTTAGCTTTTCTTGAAGATTACTATGCAAGATCACTGTTATTTTTAATACATAGTAGGTCTCTTGGAAGGACTTCACATATTTTGATGACTTCGACTTTTTTTTTTCATGGTACTTTAGCTTTAGTGCTAGCACTGATTCATATATGCTTTTGACTTACTAAATTCTGTTTCTTGCTACCATGGCATTACCTCATTATATAGAATATTTATTTCAGATACTTATTGACATAGCTCTTTTGGGGCCTTGATATTTCTTTTTTTTCTTTTTGAGACAGGATTAACTATGTGAACCAGGCTGACCTTAAACTCACAAAGATCTACCTGCCTCTGTCTCTTGAGTGCTGAGAGTAAAGGCATGTGTACCTTTTTTCTAATCCAACAATTCTACAACACCAATCCATTTTCTCAGTCAGCTTTATACTACTCAGTGTTGTCTGTTTTGAATGCTACTTTGTTTTTTCTTAAACACTTTTCATTTCAAGTTATAGTTAGCGTTGATGTCTTTGAATCTCTCTTATCCTTTTTTTATTTCTATCTTCTGGACTATTAAATCATGATTTATTCAATCAGCTCTTAATTCATAATCTTTAATTTCAGCCTATGTTTTGAGCTAGAGAGATGACTCAGTGACTGATTAAGAACACTTGATGCTTGTTTTTCCAGGGGACTAGAGTTAGGGTTTCAGCACCCACATGGTGGTTCACAACTATCGATAATTCCAGTTTTAGGAGATTTGATGTTCTCTTCTGGCCTCCATGGGCACCATGCATACTAGTAGTACACAGACATACATGCAGCCAAAACACTCATAAGAAAATAAATCTTAAAAAAAAAGAACAAAAAGTAAAGGGAAGAAAAAGGAAAGAAATGAGAAAAATAAGAGGTACCAACAAGAACAAGTGTTCTGTTGAAGGCCAATCCCTTATACCTTCTTACTATGTTGTACAATGGAGGAAACAAACTAGCTCTTAGGTCTCTTCCTATAAGGGACACAAATCCTATGTGTAAGGATTCTAATTTTGTGACCTAATTATCTCTTAAATGGTTTCTTCTAATGCCATCACATTGATTGAGATAAAGGGGAGATTAGGATTTTGATATATTAATGGGTGAGCCCTTACTCAGACCATACCAGGATCAATATAATCTCATTATTTCTGTCATTAACTTCTATTCAAAATTAAGAAATTAAACATAGATTTGAAAATATGAAAAGAAAATTAATGACTTGTTTAGTAATAAAAGTAATAAATTCTTGTTTGTCTTTTATCTACCAGCTCTCATAGTGACCACCCAAGTAAACAGTTTTATATTTTTAAGAAGCATTCAAGAGCTCTCAGGTAATTAATTGATCTTTTTCTGTACTTTGCGTTAAAGAGGTGAAATTATATTTTTTAGCCAGATGTTGGTATACCTAATTTGAAATTCTAAGCAATTGTCACTGGATATGATAGAATTATGTTTGTTACATTCTTAGAACAAAGAAAGGGCTAGCCTATCATATGACTAACCTCTGTTTCATTGGTACCAGATATTGAATTGAAACTTTCATGAATTTACTCTGTAAAATGAAAATAAAAGTCTCTTTAGCAATACTTGATTGGGAATAAGTTTATTTAAATGCTATAATATTTGAGATTAATATATAGTATTTATAAAGCTCAGTTTTATTCTTTTTTAAATATACTTTATTTTATTATGTATGGGTATCTTGCCTGTATCTATATCTGTGCACCACATGCATGCCTGGAGCCCATGGAAGCCAGAAGAGAGAATTGGATCCCCTGAAACAGGAGTTTCAGTTGATTGTGAACCACCATGTATGTTCTGAGAATCGATTTTGGTTCCTCTGCAAGAGCAGCCACTGCTCTTAACTGAGCCATCCCTCCAACCTCTCACTTTTACAAAAGAAAAGTATATGGCTTTTTATACTACAAAGAAAGAATGTTTGGTTACTGCTTATAAAGGTATTTGCTCAGAGTCAACTAAGTATTACGGGACTTTTCACATTCTTCTGGTGGTTATTTACTCAATTTTTTTAATTATCTCATTCATGTTGTCAAGACATTGAATGTGCCTTGCACATAGTACTTAGTTAAATTACAATGTGTATTAAAAATATACGTCTGTAATATTAGGTCAGTAGCTCATAAAAGAAAGTTTGACGCCACTAAAAATATATCAGGCAGGGCATGGTGGCTCACACCTTTAATCCCAGCACTCGGTAGGCAGAAGCAGGCAAATCTCTGAGTTTGAGGCCGGCCTGGTCTACAGGACAGCCAAAGATACACAGAGAAACCCTTTCTCAAAAACAAAAATAAGACCTGGAAAGGTGGGTCACGATTTAAGAGTACTTGCTGCTCTTGCAGATGATTAGAGTTTAATCCCCATTACCCATGTCAAGCATGTCATATCAAAAACCTGTAGCTCCAGCTCCAGGGGATCCAGAAATCTTCTGGCCTCTTCAGGCAATGCATGCATGTATACACATACTCCCCCATGCACATAATTAAAATACAGTCTTAAAGTATATATATTGTAGCATTTGGGAAAGAATGCCTAGGACCCCAGCACTAAGGAGACTAAGATAGAAGGATAGTGATGTCAAGGCCAGACTGATCTACATACCCAGTTCCAACCCAACCTCTTACTTGTCTCAAAGTAACAACAATTAATAATAATTAGAAAAAGAAAGAATATTAGTGCCATTACTAGAAATATTTGTAAATCTAAAATGGATTTTTTAAATATTATTTTATGTTGAATTGTTCCTTTAGCTATTTATTGTTCATCTGTCACGTGTAACACAAAGTGTCAAGTCATGTACAGATCAATGATGAAAAAGGCTTGGTACCAACTTTCAAGAAGGTACAATTTAAGCTGGGTATGGTAGAACATGCCTTTAGTCCCAGCACTTGGGAGGCAGAGGCAGGAGGATCTCTGTAAGTTCCAGGATAGCCAGAGCTGCATAGTGAAGCCTTGTCTCAAAACAATTTATTGGGAGGATATAAGAAGTAAAAATAAGTAAGTATAGCAGAGTCAGGAAATTTGTCATAAATACAGTGAGTTACTTATTTCAGAGATGACAAGAGGTTTCTACTTAAAAGATGCATGAAGAAGAAAGCATGACTTGAAGTGTAGAAACAAAAAGGAAAAGTATGTAAGTGCTTCTGAGTCACATTGAATAACTAGTAGTACAGTTTGAATGGATGACAAAGATCACGTATATGGTGAAATAATAATTTTGAGTTTAGAGACAGAATTTTTTAATCCAAAAAAATAGTTCTAAGGAATTAAGAATTAATTTTACTTTGAAAGACATTGAGAAAATCAAAACCAATGCTTTGAGTCAAATCAAGGGTATGAAAGGAAGATCAGTTTGCAGGAGTATACATGGTGAGTTGTAGCTGCATAAACCACAGAGTAGTTAAGGCTGTTGTTTAGTAATTGATTGAGCTGGAACTAAAGAGATGCTGATGTGGTCAAAAACGCTTGTTGCTCTTGCAGAAGTTCTAGTTCCAGTTCCCAGCACTCACGTGGTGGCTTAAAACCATCCATAATTCTAGTTTCAGGGGAATCTTACATTCTAATTTCCCTGGGCACCAGGCATGGATGTGGTTGGTATGCATACATTCAGGTAGTCAAAACACTTATACACAGAAAATAAAATAGTGTATCTTTTAAAAAAAAAATTCCAAAAGAAAGAACCAGAGGGGCTAGTGAGATGGTTCAGTGGTAAGGGCACTCACATGTCAGCTCAAAATTGTCTGTAACTCTAATTCCAGGGATCTGACACTTTCCCACAGACACACATGCAGGCAAAACACCAATGAACATAAAAATAAATTATATTTTTTAAAAGGAAGCCCATTTGTTTAAAAAAAGATAATTAAATTAAAATCTTAAAGCTTATAGGCTATTTAAAAGAAAAGGGACAGAAAGTAGGTTTCTGAATCAAAGGGCTCATTTTCAAATATGGGTCTAGCCTTAGATAAGTTATTAAATCTGATCCTGTCCTCTTTAGAAAAGTGGTCATTATAACACCTGTCTTTTAGAGGTTATTTGTTTAGAAGAGATAGGTCTAAAATCCCCAGTTTTGTATAATGTAAATGATATTTGAAATTGATATTAGATATTTGAAATACTAAAATATTTTTATTTGAACCTCAGAAGCAAGGATATGACATCATAAGAGAAACTAGGAATAAAGGGTGGTTTGGGGGAGGAAAAACAAATTTTGGTTGTTAAAGGACACTTTTTTATGTGTCTAACACCTAGTCTTGACTATAAAACAGGATGTTAAGACAAGAGCTGCAGAGAAAAAAATCAGCATAAGGTATACTACTGGGTTTTAGACCTATAAAGGTAAGGTGTTTTATATGATGAAGTGGTTGTGGTGGCTCACACCTATAATTCCAGCACTGGGGAAGGGAGGCAGGAGCATCCCAAGTTAGGGTCCACTGGGCTATTAGTGAGACCCTGTCTCAAAGCAAACAAAACATAACTAAAATAGCAAGTATGTATATGCTTTGTTAATAAACTAATAAATTATATTAAATGACTAAATTAAAGGCTTTCACATCTCTCCTAACTTTATTCAGATTTAAATACAGTAGATTATATGCTTCATAAACTGTACTGTTTTGTTTGCTGTTGTATACAAAATGCCTACTAATTTGATGTATAGAGGATATCCTAGGGCTTATTTTTAGTTTTTAAAGAGACTCTATTCTGTTTTCCATAATATTACAAACGTATACTTCTAACAGCACTGTATAAGAGATCTTTCTCCATTATCTTCACCAGCATGTGTTACGTTTTGTCTATTGATACAAGCCCTTCAGACTTGAGTCAGATGATATCTCATTGTGATATTCATTTCTATTTCTTTGATGGCTAATGATTTTGAAATATTTTTCAGACCTCTTGACTATTTATTTATATATCTTACTTAGAGATCTTTTGCTCAGTTTTGTGTGAAAATAGTGCTGTGTTTTGTTCAGGTGTATATGTATCTTCTTGCTTGGCAGATAAACCAAAGCATGGAATCACTGTGATGTGATTTACACAAGTTATACAAGTTGCTAGTGGATCCAAGGCTGCTTTGGGTCTCTGGATGCCAATCTTTTAGCAACAGATTGAGAGCAATTTATAAAGCACTAAATGATATCATAATTTACCTATGGCTAGACCAGATTTATTATTATTATTATTATTATTATTACAAATTTTCACCTCCCATTCCCCCTTCCTCTCCAGTCCATAGAGAGTCAGGGTTTCCTGCCCTGTTTATTTATTTATTATATATAGTGTTCTGTCTGCTTGTATGCCTGTGCACCAGAAGAGGGCACCAGATCTCATTATAGATGGTTGTGAGCTACCATGTTGTTGCTGGGAATTGAACTCAGGACCTCTGGAAGAGCAGCCAATGCTCTTACCCTCTGAGCCATCTCTCCAGCCTTAGGCCAGATTCTTAGAATCCTTTTTTTTTTCTTTTCAGGGCCAGTGATTAAATCTAGAGCTTTGCACATGGGAGGCAAATACTGCCTACAACCCAACCCTTTGAAGAGAATATTACATATATTTATAACAAAATTGGAAAATGACAGTGATAGCACATAAATAAAAATCAAGAGTTATTACATGGAACAGCAATTACTGAATTTATGTATGTAGCGCCACATATAATCTATCTTATTAGTCTTTTCTCTTTCCATAGGGGCATCACTCTAGTGTGCCTTAAATGTGACTTCCTAGCTGATACTTCTGGCTTAGACCGTATGGCTAAACACTTAAATCAACGTAAAACTCATACTTGCCAAGTAGTAATCGAAAATGGTATGTACATGTGTCTATTACTTTGAATTTATGATATATGAGCCAGTAGTTTAAATCTATTACATTGTGAGCTCTTACAAATTAAATTGATACTCCATCTATGTGTATTTCATTTGTAAACATAAAGCCCTCTGTGATTTCAGTTACAGAAAGAAGCTTAACTTCTGAATCCACTTCTGAGTAAGTTTAATTTTCATTCAGCACAATTTACTTTGATAGATTTTATTACTGTTGCAATTTTTAAATGTATCATTAATAGAAATGAAAAATATTAAAGTATTTTATTTTTGTTTTTGTTTTAAAGCGGCTTGTTGAAATAGATTCCTGCTCTATGGAACTCATGCAACCTGGTGCAAGACAAGTTGGAATTTCCTAAGTTCAAAGTTCTGCAGTGTTTGCCTTTACAAATCCAGTTTCCTAAGTTCAAAGTTCTGAAATGTTCCATAAAGGCAGTTAAAATCCACAACACTAGTTCGCATTTTTTCAGCTTTCTGATGGCAGTAGATTCTTATTCCACCTTATCTTTGTGTCAGGTTAACATATCTTAACCTGTACTTGGCTTCTCTAGTTAGCTCTGAAAAAAGAACTTTAGTTGCTATTGTCTTTACTTGCTTTGCTTCAGATAATTTGTATTTCTCTCTACCTTCAGAATATTACATATCAAACAGAATAGCTATTCTATTTTTTCTGTTTTGTCTGCTTCTTAATTTTTTTAAGTCTTTCTGCTCAGATAGCTGCTTTTTCCTTCATTTTTGTCTGTCATTGTTCTATTTTTCAGATGCAGAAGCAACACAAATTTCAAAAGATGTCCAGTATACTCCTGGACAGTGTCCCCCTTCGATGGACACAACTAATGCCTGTTTCTCTTTCCACGGAATGTGAATTGTTTGACTGTGAGACCTGTTTCAATTTGTGGCCTTGGGAATCTATCAGCTCTTAGGCAGAGTCCCTTCCTGCCTAACTAGCCTTACATAAGGCTGATGTTGATTTGGCCATCAACAACCTCAAGGTCCACCAAAATGAACACAGCTTCCTACTGGGGGCTTTGGTACTTTTTAGGCTTATGAACAATTATAATAATGAAAGCCTACCAAGTAAGTGCTTTAACACCCAAGTTCAACTTTAATCACTTTGGCTGCAGTCTTTTAATCTTCCTCTAGCATGAATACAGTCTGAGGTATATGAAAAAACTGATTGTATAGGGAGTGAAAATTACTTTCATGTTCTTGAAAAAGCAAACTTTGTGGGATTCTAGCTCCAAAGTAATTTTTTGTGTTGTCATTTAAAGTTTTAGCCAGTATTCCAAGAGTTCTCAGCAGTGATACTATTTAAATTCCTAATTTTTTAAAATTTTGATAGCTTGGTTTTTGTCATTCACCAAATTCATTGATGTCTACTTTGTATGTCAACTTTTGTAATTTCTGATTAAACTTTTTGTGTTTGTTTAAAATGCCAAGAAATTTCTTTAAATTTTTCTACAGATTTCATGCAGCTACCTGTTGGTAGTTTCTTTTCTTTTTTTCTTTCTTTTTTGGAGGGTTGTTGTTTTTTTTTTTTGTTTGTTTTGGTTTGTTTTGGTTTTTTTTTTTTTTTTTGAGCCGCGGTTTCTACTATACTCTAGGCTGACCTTGAACTCACAGATTTTTCTGCCTCAGCCTCCCAAGTGCTGCTTTTAAAGGCAAGTGAGGTACTTGTTCAGGTCATTAGACATTAATATATGATCTGTCTATCTTGAGACTATCATGAACATCTTAGCAGTCAGGAATTCAAAGACAAAGGAACAAAAACTCCCCTTACAAATATTACAAGTTTTACATTGCTATTCAATTAGCAGTTATCTTCTTAGCCATTAATGTAATTCCTTTAGATAAAGATAATATATTCAATAATATTGGGACCAAAAATGCACTTGTTTCTTGCCCACATATATATAGAGAGAGATGTATATTTTTTTATTTTGGTGTTTGTTTATTTTGGTTTACATTGAATATAGATTTTCAGAACAGTTTTGGTGTTACTTATTTTTTTAATAAAATTTGTATTGTTAAACACTTAGGAATTATTTTATAATAAATAAGTTGCTATAAAAACCTATAGATTGTATCATATAACAAAAATTGTTTTCCTTTTCACATGGAAGCCTGCCTGCTTTGCCTATAGACTAAGATCTTTATCTACAGAGTATATCTTGTGCTGCTTCCTTAAGCATACTTAAAAGCTCACTAATTTAGGGTGTTCTTTTTTTCTGAGACAGAGTTTCTCTGTAGTTTTAGAGCCTGTCCTGGAACTAGCTCTTGTAGACCAGGCTGGCCTCGAATTCACAGAGATCCTCCTGACTCTGCCTCCCGAGTGCTGGGATTAAAGGTGTGTGCCACCACCTCCCAGTTAATTTGAACTATTTTACATGTAGGCCAAATACCCATATATATATAAAATAAAGTTTCTTTTAAAGTTTTGATGCGGAATCTTTCCGTTTAGCCTTGGCTGTCCTGGAACTTGCTGTGCAGACCAAGCTGACATTGAACTCACAGAGTTCCACCTGCCTCGGCCTCTTGATTGAAGTTTAAAGTCATTCAGCACCATACCTGTACTTTAAAAAATTAAAGATTTATTTATTTATGTATACAGTGTTCTGCCTGCATGCCAGAAGAGGGCACCAGATCTCACTATAGATGGTTGTGAGCCACCATGCAGTTGCTAAGAATTGAACTCAAGACTTTTGGAAGAGCGGCCAGTGCTCTTAACCGCAGAGTCATTCTCCAGTCATTTTTAAAGCTAACAAATGACTTCTTAATTATGGTGAAAGGAATATTACTAATTTCTTAATTATGGTGAAAGGAATCAAGGTCTGAAGTCCTGATTCAATTATGAGGGGTTTTGTTCATTATTTGTTTGTTTCTTTGTTTCTTTTGATTTAATTTGAAGTCAGATCTATATGAGCATACTTTGAAACACTCTAAAAGCCAATTCAAGTGGTCACTTGTTATGTAGTATATCCTTTGTAGTCATAATTAAGAATTGAGTACATAAGCCAGACAGTTTTTGCACATGCCTTCAATCCCAGCACTCCAGAGGCACAGGCAGGCAGATCTCTGTAAATTCAAGGCCAGCCTAGTCTGCAAAAGCTAGTTACAGAACAGCTAGGGCTGTTACACAGAGAAACCCTGTCTCAGAAAAAAAAAAGTTGAATCCTTAGGCTATTTTTTCATACTGATACCTGCCAACAATGTATTTCAAAATCTTTTGGGATTGACTTATTTTGAAATAGTGACCGTGGTGATACACTAGACATTTATTTATGTACCTAACTTAAGGAATTGTTTTTGTCTGTTACCATCTTTCCACTCTGTTTATAGAGCATTTTGTTTTAGAAGTATTAATGGAAAACCAATTCTTAAGTTTTAAACTCTTTCTTTTATAGATTTTATATATTTATTATGTCTACAGGGTCCGTGCCTGCACACCAGAAGGTGGCACCAGGTCTCATTGTAGATGGTTATAAGCCAACATGTGGTTGCTGGGAATAGAACTCAGGACCTCTGGAATAGCAGCCAATGTTCTTAACCTCTGAGCCATCTCTCCAGCCACAATTTTTAAACTCTTAACAACTTTCTTTAAATAAAACATTTCAGGCGTACTGGAGAGATGGCTCAGAGGTTAAGAGCACTGACTGCTCTTCCAGAGGTTCTGAGTTCAATTCCCAGCACCCACATGGTAGCTCTCAGCCATCTGTAATGAGATTTGGTGTCCTTTTCTGGCTTGCAGGCACACATGTAGACAAAATACTATATACATAATAAACAAATCTTTAAAAATAACACATTTCAGTCTCGCTGAACATAGCAGACAATGAGGACTACTAAGAACTCAAGAACAATGGCAATGGGTTTTTGAGCCTACTGCACGTATTGGCTTTGTGGGAGCCTAGGCAGTTTCGTGGATGCTCACCTTACTAGACCTGGATGGAGGTGGGTGGTCCTTGGACTTCCCACAGGGCAGGGAACCCTGATTGCTCTTTGGGCTGACGAGGGGGGGGGACTTGGTTAGGGGAGGGGGAGGGAAATGGGAGGCGGCGGTGGGGAAGAGACAGAAATCTTTAATAAATAAATAAAAATAAGATAAAACTTTCATAAAAAATAACACATTTCAGGCACTTAGTACTAAGCTTGCCTATGTAAATAATATTAATGATCACTAAACTGCAGAGACTTAGATCCTTGCCTTCATTTTGACAACACATAGTTGGAACTTATGGTTTGTTCAGCAAAGATTTATTGAGAATTTACTAACTGACACTATTCTAGGTATTTCAATAACTGAAATCACTGCCCTTGAGAAATTTGTACTTCAATAGTGGGGAACAGACAATAGAAAATAAGTCCTAGGTACTTCTGAAAATAACTCTTAACAGCTCAGTAAATGGTTGTAGGGATTGATTTTTTAAAAAAAAATTGCACGTGATTAAAAACCTGCAGAGCAGCAAAAGAAGCAATAAGAGTGAAGTGACAGCCTACAAAATGGGGATAGACATCTTTGCCAACTATATATTTAACATGGAGTTAGTATCTAGAATCTATCGATAAATACATCATTATGTGTAGTTAATATATGCTAGTAAAAATACCAAATAAAAGAATACAAACGTTGAATAATGCAGTCAATAACTCAGCAGACATTTCTCAAAAGAAATAGAAGGATGACTCAGCAGTTAAGAAAGCAAGCTGCCCTTTCAGTGGACTGGACATCGATTTCTGGTATTCAAGGGCAGCTCTAACCATCTACAACTGATCTGATGGCCTCTATGGGCACTACATGCACATGGTGCATGGACTTGGAAAAAAACACATAAATATTTTTCTTTTTTTGGTTTTTCAAGACAGGATTTGGCTTCTCTGTAGCTGGTATTAAAGGCATGCGCCTCTACCACCCGGCTCATTGAGCAATTCAAACAGCCCTTTCTTTAAAATTAAGATAAATGGCTGGGCAGTGGTGGCCCATGCCTTTAATCCCAGCAGTCTGGAGGCAGAGGCAGGCAAGAGGATCTCTGTGAGTTTGAGGCCAGCCTGGTCTACAAGAGCTAGTTCCAGGACAAGCTCCAAAGACACAGAGAAACCCTGTCTCAAAAAAAAAAAGTGAGTAAAGGTCATGCCATCAAGCCTGATAACCTGAATTTCATCCTTGGGACTCACATGGTATAGAAAGGGATCTCACTCCTAAAAGTTGTCCTCCAACCTCTTCATTTGCCCTGGCATGCATGCATGCACACACAATAAACGATGTATCTTTTGCTTCAAAGATATACAAATGGCTGATAAATATACAAAAAATTCAACAGCCTTAACCATCAGGAAAATGCACAAACTACATTGAGATTCCATATGCCAAAGTCTATGAATGGCCATCATTATAATGTAAGGAAAGAACACATGTCTCTGATAGTAATATACACTCATGCAGCCACTATGGAACTCAATGAGGTTCCTCAAAAAACTAAACTAGAAGTGCCATATAACCCACTGTACCTCTATGACCTAGACACCCAAAGGACTCTGAGTAAACAACCACAGAATTACTCATGTCTATATTTATTGCGGCTCTATTCACAATAATCAAAATATGAAATACCTAGATGCTCATCAACAGCTGAATGGGGGAAGTGAATGAATTTAAAAAGGCAGTATGTGTGTATGTGACTGACAAAACTCCATTTTGTGTATGTGTGTATATGTAAACAATGGAGTTTTTGTCAGCCATAAGGACGATGGTAATTGTGTCATTTTACAGGAAAATAGGTGGGACTAGAGCTTACTGTCTTATGTCAGTCATATTCAAGTACCACATTTTCTTTCATATCTGAAAAGTGACTGGTGGTGATGGTGTGTGTGTGTAAATGAAGGGAGCCATGCAAGGGGAAACAAGGCAGGATGATGACAAGATAGAAAAGAGAAAGAAGCCATATCTTCTCATGTGGAACCTAGAGTAAATCATTATTTTTTTTATGTGTATAGGTATTTTGTCTGCATGCATATCTGTGCACTATGTGTATTCGGATCCCCTTGGAGCATCATTGCCCTTGGAATTAGAGTTGTAGGTGCTGGAAGTCACACACTGTGGTTCCTAGGCAAAAGAATCAAGTGCTCTTAACCACTGAGCCCGGTCATGAAAAGATCACTGGCTGCTCTTCCAGAGATCCTGAATTCAATTTCCAGCATGACATCGTGGCTCATAACCATTTATAATGAGATCTGGTGCCCTCTTCTGGCGTGAAGGCATACATGCAGGCAGAATACTATATACATAATAAATAAGAGTTCTAGGTGTCACCTACTATTGCTACTAATAATAATCCTCAGAAGAGACACTGGAAACTCATCAATGAAATCTAGCAATCCATCAGCACTGTGACTATTCATAAGTTTTGCTTACCATGCTGCTGAATGGAGGACTTAGGTTTTGTGGGAATTTTGGGGGTGGTGAGCCAAGCCCTCAGTATGTAGCCCTGGCTATCCCAGAATTCACTGTGTAGATCGGGCTGGCCTCAAACTCAGAGATCCACCTGCCTCTGCCTTCAAACTGCTGGGATTAAAGGCATGTGTCTGAAAACTAAGGTGATAACTGCCTTTCTGAAAAGCACTATAGAATGTTATATCATTTGGGAAAAAAAAATTGCTCTTACTTTTAGGAGAATTCCTTTTTGTGGTACTCAAGACTGAACCCAAGGCCTTACATATGCTAAACATTCTCTAGCCTTTAATAGCCCAAACAACCTTAAATTCTTGATCCTTCGGCGTCAGTTTCACAAGTGTTGGATTTATAGGCATGTGATACCATGCCTGGGAATTCTTGGGTTTTTTTTGTTGTTGTTTTGTTTTTTTGTTTTTCGAGACAGGGTTTCTCTGTGGTTTTGGAGCCTGTCCTGGAACTAGCTCTTGTAGACCAGGCTGGTCTCGAACTCACAGAGATCCGCCTGCCACTGCCTCACGAGTGCTGGGATTAAAGGTGTGCGCCACCACCGCCCAGCTGCCTGGGAATTCTTTAACAGAAGGATTTTGACTGAGCATGGTGAGCACCTATAATCTCACCATGATAGAGGCCAGGGCAGGAGGATAGTTTGAGGCTAGCCTGGGCTATATTTTGAATCCCTACTCCAAAAATGGGGAAAATTTAAATTTAGTTATTTTTATTTTATGTGCATTGGTGATTTGTCTACATGTATGTCTGTGTGAGGGTGTTGGGTCCCCTTGAACTAGAGTCACAGACAGTTGTGGATGCTAACTGTCATGTGGGTAACAGAAATTGAACCAGGGTCCTCTGGAAGAGCAGCCAGTCCTCTCAACTGCTAAGCTATCTCTCCACCCC